TTTTTAAATCCAAGCTATTGTGACACAGGATCTAATTAGTGGCACTTGTCAGCGTATCCACTGTAGCGTAACACACCCGCTTTAAGGACACTGACTGCTATTCAATCTATAACAGTGAAAAAATATTATTTTTTTTTTAAATCCAAACTATTGTGACACCAGATCTAATTAGTGGCACTTGTCAAGCGTATCCACTGTTAGCGTAACACACCCGCTTTAAGGACACTGACTGCTATTCAATCTATAACAGTGAAAAAAGTTTTTTGTTTTTAAATCCAAGCTATTGTGACACCAGATGTAATTGGTGGCACTGACTGGGGAAATGGGCACAGTATGCACTGTGAGCCTGACACAGAAGCTGGCAGCAGTGGCAGACAACTGACTGCTATTCAATCTATAACAGTGAAAAAAGTTTTTTGTTTTTAAATCCAAGCTATTGTGACACCAGATGTAATTGGTGGCACTGACTGGGGAAATGGGCACAGTATGCACTGTGAGCCTGACACAGAAGCTGGCAGCAGTGGCAGACAACTGACTGCTATTCAATCTATAACAGTGAAAAAAGTTTTTTGTTTTTAAATCCAAGCTATTGTGACACCAGATGTAATTGGTGGCACTGACTGGGGAAATGGGCACAGTATGCACTGTGAGCCTGACACAGAAGCTGGCAGCAGTGGCAGACAACTAAGTGCATTTACATTACATAGAAAAAAAAAATCAAAAAAAGCATACCCTTATCCCTAACCTAGCTATGCTTTTCCCTATCTTATGAACAGCAGCTACACTTTCCCTCCTCTTACTAAGCATGCAGCTTGAGAATGAATCTAAAATGGATGCTGTCCAGTAGGTGGGAGGGTCTGCTAGGGAGGCTGTGCTGCTAATTGGCTGGAATGTGTCTGCTGACTGTGAGGTACAGGGTCAAAGTTTACTCAATGATGACGAATAGGGGGCGGGTCGAACCACGCATATGTTCGCCCGCCGTGGCGAACGCGAACATGCTATGTTCGCCCGGAACCGTTCGCTGGCGAACCGTTCGGTACATCACTAGCATCCAGAGAGGATGAATAGAGCTGAAATACTCTACTCTAGAAGGCTACATACTTACACGCTGACCACAACCCTCATTTTCTGGAAAGAGAGGGGTGTACCTTTTCAAGTGTGACTCTACTTGGTTTAGGATAACAGGGACCTATTCCATTCTCATCTAGACCTGTGCATTGAGTTTCAAACACATTGCAATTTGTCTAAATTTGAGGTGATCAGCAGGATGCTCGAATTCAGTAACTCAAAACCACCATATGGATGTATCACGAAACAAACAACATGGACAACAGATGAACTGTTTGTTGCATTTTTTGTGATTCAGACTTATCGCTATGGCAAAAATAAAACAGATGGATGATGGGAAAAAAAGATGTTTGATGATTAGGGGTCAGCCACTAAATGTTGATTTTATTCTCAGATCAAGTGACCAATGGAGGGGAGAAAAAGGGGGAGCAGTAAATAAATAAATATATTTTTATTTTTCTATTCCTCCCTATTAGTTATTTCTAACTTGATAAAAAAGAAATATGCCTACACTGTTTCTACTATGTACACACTGAATGGCCCATTCTTGCAGCATTTTTCCCTAAATGATTGCATGGTTGAAATTTGACTTAACTGAAATACTACATGGATGAATTTTGGTCCACCTGAGCAAAAAAATTTTTTTTTTTATCCAAACTAATTTTTTTTTTTTGCAGTGAGCAAGTCTATTCTCCACCAGTATCCCACATATCATATCAAACTGGATCTGCAGGTCTCCCATGAGTTTGACTATCTTTCCTCTAAGCCAGGCTTCCCCAAACTCCAGCCCTCTAGATGTTGCCAAACTACAACTCCCATAATCCTTTGAAATAGATAGCCAGAGAATCATGGGAGTTGTAGTTTAGCAACATCTGGAGGGCCAGAGTTTGGGGTAGCCTGCTCTAAGCAATGTAGCAAAAGATCCAATTGAGTGGAGGACAATACAGGTTTGATATTACTACTAAGGCATTAAGTGGCAATAGGAATGAATTATATAACTGTGCGCAATGAGAGTCCCTTTTCTAGCAGC